TGGTGTGTTGGTGAACGCGTTAGCCTCCGGTAAGGGTAATAGCGAATACGTTCCCCACCGCAAACACCTGCGGTCCGGAATTTTGCGAATAACTCAACATCGTTATGGTTGTATTTCACATAACACCCTACTGTAAAAAATTGTAGTAGACAACAAATAAAAAGTTACCAAAACGTAAAAAAAACTATTTGAAAAACTACCACGTTATATCTGATTAATGTTATTTCCGGAGGCAAGCAAGCCGTGGTAGAGACGCCGTTCGGTAACACGAGCAAGGTTCATGGTTCAACCCACCGCTTAATTCTAGGTAATGAAACTGGTATTAAACTAGTGTGGGAACAACTTCCTTCGATCCACAAAAGAATAAGCGAGTGGCTATGACGAAGATCTGGAAACATCGTAGCACGGCTATTCCACGAGAACAGAAGAGTCTGCTCCACCAGCATTTAACGGCATTCATAAAGATGGTCAGAAATCCTCAACCAACAGTCGAATCCACTTATAAAAATCTAAAGTACATCGTGGAATCTCGGTGCGAGGAAGTGAATTGAATGAAACAAATGCTGAGACTCACATAATATGCGATATTAAGAAATATAATACCTAAAAACCGCAAAAGATATGGAACAATCCAGACCTGAAATAAACCGTCGAATAACCCTTTAAACAATACAACGAAAGAGAGCGGGGCACCATATAGTAGTATATATAGTGTGTAAAGTGTATTTGGACACTTGGATGCTTGGATGACCCGTCTTCACTGGTTGTGACTCAACATAACTTCCACTTTTTCGGAGTTTTGCCCAGCCATTGTTTCTTTAGTATCCCGAGGTTAGCCTGGCCAAAGTCTGCCTCAGGTCGTCACCACTACAGACAGTAGCCGCCCCTGTGGACGAGTAGATTTGCCAGCATGCGACTAATTTGATACCAGGACGGTGCTAGATCCTGGTATTAGTTTACTCTTAGCTGGGCTTCCTGGTGAAGACGCCGAGCTCCTTCTCAGCATGGGGACTCCTGCCGGGGAAATGAATCTCCTCACTGTGCATCACAGCTCGACACCCTCGAACACCTCCCACCACGATGAGGCGGTAAACTGTTGGGATGACCACAGTCTACAGTCTATAGTTGTCAATCAAGCAACCGCATTGCTGTCAGCATCTGGTTTTTCTGTTACTGATATCAAGTTTATTTCGCATTTCTTTTATTGGCGCAACATTTATACATTCCATACGGCATCGAGTATCGGTTGCTGATTGGAAATTGAACACTGTATACCTTATATAATGCACTATGCACTTTTTCTATCCCTGGCGTGGATTTACTACGTTGTTTTTCCACATTTCCCAAGACTTCTTTCGTCGACTAAAATTGGAGCGGTTAAGGCCTTAACACACTTTTAGAGAATGGTTGCTTTTTCCTTACACTTACCCTTTACTTTGTTTTGGTTTCTAGTTGTTATATGTTTGCTACTCCTTGTACACCGTTATAGTTAGACTTCGTTCAGTTGTTCTAGGTTTCTATATTGCCGTTACTATTTGCCATTTGTTTTTACATACATATGTCTAAATTTTTAAGTTTTTTTCTGCTGTTTTAGTAATAGGACTTCTTTCAGAAGTTTATAAAAGTTTCTTTTTTCAATCTCTTATGAGGCATTCAACATGATTTCACGTGCTCTAGATTCGGTTACACCTCAGAGCAAGAAGATAAATAAATGGCTTTCCTACTCCTCTTTCATTCTGTGTTTAATTCATCAACTCTGTCGTGGTACTAAGTACTTCGTTCTTTTTCCATTTTGTATTTCCTGGTATTTCGTTCTTGAACTGTGATGTTTTCAGCATTTTCATTCTTCGACTATCTTATAGCGCCAATTGTAGTGCACGCACAACGCAGAAACAACCACTGGGCATTGTTCCTGTGTGATAAACTACCTCATTTGGAAATAAATACCTGCTAAATGTGAATACATAGGAAGGGTTTAGTATCTATTATATTATTTATCTATTGATTTCCATTCTTTTTCTTTTTTATAGGGATCTACAAACAGTAGTTGATTTCTGGTCTTAAGCATAACTGTGTCATTGTTGTTAGTGATTGGACGAAATAATTGGAAATATTTTTAAAAATCGAATTCTATTTGGCTTCGGCATGAGTAACAAATATTTTTTTCTATCCATGAGGTTGCACTAGGTAGATAAAAGAATAAAGGATAAAGCTCTCGGTGTTGACCAATCCCTGAGGAATGCGCCATGCATCCCACTTCAGTAGGCATCATTGGAGCTGACTGAATGCATATCTGGCCTTTACAATGTCTCACGGTGGCCTACCGATGTATCTAGCAGGTGCTGCTACCCTCCCAGACAGGTCTAGTACCAATTTACCGACCCCGGAGTGATGGAAGGCTTGGTGCCGTAGGCGCGTGGATAGATTCCACATGTGTGTTGCAGAGCGCCTCCGACCACTGCGTCACATCCGCTCTCTAAAAATAATATTGGTATTGATAAAATGTATAAATTAATGGCAGAGTCTTCCAGAATATTGTTATCAACGTATCGAGCCAGTGTTACTATCTTTCCAGACAAGTCTGGCACCAATTTGCCGACTCCGGAGGAATCGCCTACGAATCCGCAACACGTGGCCCTGCCAGGTAGAGGTGCTATTGTAGAGGTACGAGGTGCTTATTGCGTGAGGTACTTATTGCGGTTAATGTTTCGGCGCATTCACTCCACCCAGAGTTGCAATGGTTCGTGTCCGGTATCAATTATTTTTATCCACCTGGTATGAACTCATGAATGGAGCCAGGTAATTCGGAGTAGTCATCTTTGGAATTTCTTTATATATTGTTCATGAAACATCATTGAAAACAGCTCCGTTTATGGTGCCTATGAGTTCCGAGCTCTAATAATGATACACCACATGTTTTTAAGATATTGAGATGCTCAATAATCATCAGGAGATGGTCAACGGGTTAATTCTTGAGTTCAATTATAGTTGGAATTGAAGAATTCGAGTTAGCCTTCGATTAACTCTGGCTGCTTAATGATGGTGACGCTTCCAAGGAGATTGTTGAGAACGAATACCTTGAGTTGAAAGGAGAATTTGCTGACGTTGCACTATGTTCTTTGTGTTATTTCGTTATCCGGTTTTTTGAAGTTCTTCTCCACTTATTATCGTTTTTTGTATCTCATTGCACTGTTCCGGTTCAGGAATGTAATTTCTAGAACTGAGAATTGCCGCCAATATATGCTAGGATGCTCCCAACGGTTTACCGCCTCATCGTGGCTGGGAGGTGTTCCTGAGTGTTGGACTGCGATGTACAGCAGGGGATTCGTCCCCTGACAGGGTCTCTCAAACTGAGAAGAAGTCCGGCCTTTCCATCAGGAAACCTAGCTAAGAGTTAACCAATACCAGGATCCACCACCGTCCTGGTTTCAAAGTCGCATGGTGGTAAATCTCCCTCTGATACAGAAGGGCTGCGACTGCCCGCGACGGACTTTGGCCAGGCTGACCTTGGGACTCCAGGGAACCATAATGGCTTAACCAGCAAATCTCCGAAAAATGGAGATTATGTTGGGGCCCTCATAACCAGTGAGGACGGACCATTCAAATACTAAGTATATACTATGTTATACCTTTTTATTTTCTGCCTACTATAATTTCGCGGCAGGCTACTAAGCGAAATACAACCACAACGTTGCTGAGATATTTGCAAAACTCTGGACCGCAGGTGTCTATGGTGGGGAACGAACGCGCTATTGTCCTTTCCGAGGAGTAAAGCGTTCACCACCACACCATGCGGGTCCTTTGTTTCGCCTGTCTCTCAGTTATTTCTATCGATCTTTTGCCACAGCAATCACCCGTCTGCGGGATTGATCTGGGGCGCCCAAATCGGCATAGAACCCAATTAAGCTGCGGCTGTAGTTGAAATCACAATGTTATACCTTTTTATTTTCTGCCTACTATAATTTCTATATATATATACTTTCTATATAAGTATATACTAGGCCGGCGTGCCGGCGAAAAGAAAGCTCATCCAAAAGGATGTTTTGTGAAAAATAGTAAGTACAGAGAACACCTTTTTTGTCTCAGCGTTCCAGTTGCGATGTCCTTTCGACTATCAAATTAATATATATATAGTGCGGTAAAAACTTCTACAATCATTAGAATGAAAATAGACTGTATTGCCCACACCGGGTGTTACGGTTAACCTTTTCGCGAACGCGAACAACCACGCGGTGGCAGGGCCGCCGAGTCGACTGTGGTTGAGGCAAGATCAGAATGCTCATTGAAACCAAGACATACGGTCCACAGCGTGCACCAATGTCCATATTGGAACCAATGTTCATGGTGCCATAAGGGTCAATGCATGTCTTTTTCCTTACGGATAAGCTTTTTAAGCGCTATTGCTCTCCAGCCTTACGCGTTCTAGGAAGAGTTAGAGCCCATGCGTATCGGACCAGGCAATCATAAGCGAGCGTCGCGTTATTGAAAAGTCCCCGTTCTTTATTACTTGGAAGCAAGTTTTGAGTACAGAAAAACAGTGAAGTTATTTTGGAATGAACTCAAGTTCTGCAAGACTTCCAACAATTCTCGAGTATTCATCTACGCACACAGCAAACACAATCAATGAAAATTACAACCATAACCGCAACACATACAGTGAAAGTACAGGAGAAAAATTATATTATGCTATCAGTGACAGTAGAAGAATTCTCAAGCTTTAAATCTCCATCAGGTTGGCCTTTGCAGAAAAATGCAAATAAAGGCACAACAAAATGCAATAAAATAACAATGCTCTGCGAAAGAAAATAGTTGGAGGTTGACCACCAGCGATCCAGAAGAAGTGACAAAATCGAACATCGATTAATCAGTTGCTTTATGTGTTTAACACAAAACCAATTTGAAGGTCACAGACCCAATATGATGCTTTGGTCGAACTTTGAAAATGAAATGAAAGACGAATACGATGAATATAACTAGACTAGTAGCACAAAAAAAGAACTCTAGCAAAATACGGAATACAGTACTACTTGAGCACCACCGACTTGTCTCACTGGGCCAACTAGAAAATAGGAATGAAGGAAAGCTTCTCCAAGAAACTGGATATCATTTACATGAAAGGAGTTGCCAAAATTATGAAGACCTGCTTGACGATCCAAGAATAGATCTGAAAGCAATGTCAAATATTACATTGTAAATCTAAGACCATAAATCTACATGAGAAAAAGGAAGATACAAACAGAACATGCCCCCTTTCTTCACAAAAGGAACACTGAGCCTCGGTTTTGCAACTCGAAACAGCTGCATTAACACATTTACAATCACCGCTGATTTCGATGAGAGCAAAAATAGTCGCTAACTCATTCGCCATTTAAAAATAGGAAATGCTGGTTTTTTCGACAAAAACTCTTCTGATATCGTTAATCTTGACATTTGGTCCACGTATGACAATCGACCGAAAGAATACAAAGTGCCGCAAAAACCTCTGTAAACCACTGAACACGCTTGACCCCATTTCGGGTCACGTAAATGTGTGTCTGTTAAAAGGCTGCGTACCTACACAAAACACAACTCGTCTTATTGTTCTCAATGACTTTTCCACGAATTCTTGTTTTCGTACTCATATTACGAAGAAAACTGCAGACCTGATATTGCGCGTAGAACGAAGCGAACCAGAAAACGTATTGAGTGGTAATTTTTCCCCAAGAAAATACCACACGCTTTCCACGTTCACCTGCCACGAACTCTCCGGTTTCATAGTACTGAGCTGCAAGAAAGTACATTAAAATTAAATAGAAAAAACCCCATTATTAGTACTAAAAGCATGCAATGGATGCTATCGTTCCCCACGATTTCCTGAGCTGTTTCGGTCCATATCGTTCTATCCTGGTTTATTTACCAAATTTATATTCAATATAATTGGCACAGTTCTTTTCGTGCATATTACAACACTAATGTCCTTTAGGCCTCTGTAAATCCAACTGTCAATGTGGATCTTTCAAAAACATAACTTGAAGTGGTCTGTGATCATCGTCTGCAAAACTTGGATTACTGTAGTCACCTGGTTATGTTTTTATGCAATTCCCCAAACGACACACTAAAAATCAGCAAGCATTTGGGCACTCTTTGATATTGATTTGTTTCATTTCGAAGCCTGATGATTCTTCTACAAGTAATTCAGAAACAATGCAAGACAACCAAGTGAAGTGGATTCAAAAAAATTTTTGTGGCTCCTTCACTTCCGCTGAATATGAACCCGCAGTGATTTTTGGAAACCTTAAATTTCTCTTCGATCCGACAACTCTAGGGAGTATTCCTACTTCTCCCTTTCTGTGAACCACCTTTCGAAATAGATCTCTCAAAATCCTTCTTCTGGGTCCATACAAGCACAGAGAGAATCGGTTTTTTACTACGTCATATCACTTCTCAACCAACTAATGACGTTTTCTAAAATCACTTTTTAAACCACAGATCATTCGAGATTAACTCCCCGTAGATTTCATTAAACAGTCGAACCTACACACAGTAATGAACCGTATCCGAAAGCATCTTTGAGACATTTCTTCTTCTGTTTTCGAAATCTACCGATGATAATACCACTCTCAGCTTTATCGCTGCTAATCTATAATTCAAAGATGACCGCCCAGAAAAAAAGAAATATTCACGTAGGCATTCCCTTTGGTCTCTGATTTCCAAAACTGTCTAAAACAGTGGAGGCGGAAACGCGTCCGATTGGAACACACTTGAATTGCTTTTACTTAACACTTAACACCCAAAACTAGTTTTTCGACAACTGACGACATAACATTACGATGTAGTTTCTTGATCGTGAAGGCATTTTTGATAGTTAGAATTCCATATATTTATACAACATACATTGACCTACCGCACAATTACATAACAAACTACTGAAAAAAAACTCAACATCAAACATGTTTAAAAACAAAACTCTCACAAGACTTGGAGGCGAAATAAATTTTCTAAAATTCGAAGACAAGCGCACGAGACATGAGTACTAAAGATAACTGGTGGAAAGCTGCTCGACAAAATCCCACTTCTTCAATTGCTGTCGTGTTTGGAACTCAAAAAGAAGTGTAAAAAGTATGTCCTTCGCACTCCAGAATAAAGGGGCTTTGTTTCCGTAGAACAAATAACTTGGTTATTACAGGCAAAGACCCGCAGATCCTTACAGTTCCTAATTAATAAAGTTCAACATGAAATAAGATAAGTTGGTGTGAACTCGAAAGTGGTCGTTAATACCTCTCAGAGCTCAAACTCTCTTTCAAACTCCTGTTCAATTCGCTTTTTCAGTGTGCCAAGGCATCTTCGCAGACAATTTTCATAGATAGAACTGGACCGAGGCAGAACAAACTCCTCTGTGAAGTCCAACTGGTAATCAATAATCAAGCCGAACTCTACCACCAAGCTAGCTAAGTTGTTATCAGTCCTTCGTTTTATCACAAAGGTAAGAAAAAAACTGATATATGTCTTTCACGCCTCTTATCTGCAAAAATACCTTACATCACAGTATACAACCAGTTTCTCTTCTATCGCGTTACGATCAAACAATCGTACAATCTTCTGTAATATACGAGCTTCAATGAAATGTAATAACCAATATTTCAAACTATCTTCATAATGAACTCATCCATTCCTGTGAATGCGTAAATTTTCACTGAGCACTAGCTCAGATAGCAGACTGCTGTCATTGGAGATTTCCAAACGCGTACGCGGAAAAACCGACTATTTCCATTTAGTGCTCTGATCACATATTTTTTAAACGTAAGAATATTGCACGAATGGTATAAAATCACTTAGTTCTTCATAGACCGCTGAATAAAAAATCAGCCATGGAGCTATAGAATGAGTAGTATGAAATTAGGCTATAATGACTGGCACACTGTTATAGTCTCAGTCGCAGATCTTTAATGATATCCACGTTGCTTCTTTCTGAAGCCATTAACTAAATGATTTTGGTAATTCTCACCAAGCATTTTATCCTTTTCTTCGTATACACCGTACATCCAATCGCGCAGTTTCTCCTCATTGTCAAACGGAACCTGGAAAACAGAGACAGGTGAAGATTTCTCTCATATATGTCCAGTCAAATATCCATTAAATTTGTTTCAAATGTAGCGTTCTAATCTACTGCTAACGAAAATTTAGAAGACCTCAGTATAACAACCATTGATGCAATTTTACAACGGTTTGAAACCAAATTCAAATGTCATAATAAGGTCAATGTTTCAAATTCTGAAAAGAATATTCAGAACTCTTGAGGATAAAAGATTTTAGTTATTATTTGTAAATGAAATGAAGTAAACGCCCTAAATAATCAGAAAACAGCTTCATTTTTACTTCATTTCCTAATGTTTAAGAAACAAACTAAATGGACATGACCAAAGCCTCTCCCATAGATTGAAGCCGCGTAGTATGAGATAATTTAGCTGCACTTGATTCTGCACAATTTAGTAACTACTTAACGAGTTAGTTAAAGTTTTGAGGTATCAGTTAGAACCCAACTTCTAAATCCCTGAGCCGCCGGTCACTTTTTCTTCTCTATTTTTCGATTTTGGTTTTAATATCGCATATGAATCAAACTGTACGAAAACCGAACGAAGGAATCGTTGTCGAAAACATACTTCTCTCAGATCCACATCGTGGTGAAGAGCTGAAAAAGCCTTGCCAAGTTGATTCGGGGCTACAGGGAAAAACAGATTGCTCAACCAGCAATGGGCCAGCCTCAGTATCTAACCAGTACACTGGTTGTTCTTTTCTATAACGTCAAGTGGTGAGATGATCGGTGAGAGTTCGCAAAATCTCGGGTTACGCAGAACGTCACTGGCCAGAACGTGAAGCTCTGATCAGCGAAATCAATCTTGTCTTCAAGACGCACGAGAACACAAATCGGCAGCGAATCATAGATGGGTCGGTTGCATAATGAGAAGAACAAACGATAGAGAAGCGAAAAGAACTGTAGAATGGACTCCATGAGGATGCAGGCGTCTCCTAGGACGACCACTTACATGTTGGACGGATGTGTTCGCAACCAAATCAATCAGCTGTACCCACGAGTGCAGTTGCTTTACAGATAACGGTATAAGACTCGCAACCATCACCGTCATACCAAGCCAGCACACCATGCACGGGTACTGCGAAGCAATGAAATGAATGGAGAATGTGCTGGGGTCTGCATAATTAACGAAGACGAGCCATCCAAGTAAGTAGGTAATAAGTACAGGAGGAAAATAACCACTATAATCATATGGTTGGGTCACTACAAACTCTTTATAGTCCGTGTACTACCAATTTCGAGAAGGTTCACAACTAAAAGAAAAACAGAATAGATAAAATCAATATTGCGGACAATTGGTTGGAATACTGTGATAAGTATGGTATAAACTAATTTCATTATCTCAATGAACACTACGACCACTTCTCATTCTAAAGCGTTTACTGATTCTTGCGAAAACATGTAGTTCACAGTCCTCTTGGATTAATAACCCATGCGATAAAAAAAGCACGAACCTCATCAGCTCTGAAAATTTGGTAGTGAACAGCGATGTCACACTTTTCACGAGTTCCGAATCCGAGCGTAGCAAGACTGAGGGGAATACCGTTCGGATAGGCAATCGTCACGTCCAGAACATATTTGATAGGAGGGCGAGTTTCTGAAAAGCAACTTAATACATATGCATAAACGCAAAAAATTTCCGAAATGAATGAACGACAACATGAGGAATATAGCTTATTGTTGATATACCTCGTTATCATCACTGTCTATCAATACAATAACACTTTCGATCTTCAGTGATAAACTTTTTGTCTATATATGCTCAATTGTAATAATATTACATATATACTTACTTGATACTTGAATGGCCGGCCCTCACTGGTTGTGCGGGCCCCAGAATAATCTCCACTTTTTGGAGAATTGCTGGTTAAGCCATTATGGTTCCTTGGAGTGCCGAGATCAGCCTGGTCAAAGTCCGCCGCGGGCAGTCGCAGCCCTTCTGTATCAGAGTGAGATTTACCACCATGCGACTTTGATACCAGGACGGTGGTGAATCCTAGTATTGGTTTACTCTTAGCTAGGCTTCCTGATGGAAACGCCGGATTCCTTCTCAGCTTGGGTGAACCTGCCAGCGGATGAATCCCCCGCTGTACATCGCAGTCCAACAGCCAGGAACACCTCGCAGCCACGATGAGGCGGTAAGCCGTTGGGAAGATATATATATATATGCATACATATACATATAGATATACATATATATATGTATATATATATATCCCGTTGACGGGTGATTGCTGATGACAAAAAGATCGATAGAATTAGCTGAGAGACAGGCAAAACTAAGGACCCGGATGGTGTGGTGGTGAAGTGCGCTGCTCCCCAGTAAGGACAATAGCGCGTCTTCGTTCCCCACTGCATACACCTGCGGTCCGGAGTATATATATATATAGAGTTGCAAATATCTCAGCATTATATACGAGTTATATATGTATAGTTCATGTCCTTTGTCTTATACGGAAATATTTAAATGACTAAACAAAATGTCAGGAAATTGGTCAAAGACGATATTGGACAGCATTTTGCCCATCTTTCTCCAAGTTTGGCAAAAATAGTTCGAAATCCAAAAAAAATTGCATAGTAAAACGACAGAAAAAAAACGCCGTAAAAAGGTCAACACACAGATACGACGAACCATCTGTACTACTACTTCTTACAATACTTGTAGAGTAACTCAATAAGGGCATATCACAAAGTTTTAACATGTCTGTGTCGCTAGGCACAGTACTTTTATAGATTTAGCTTGATCGAGCGATGTGAGGGGCAACACACCTTTACTAAAATCTTCGAGAAGTCGAAGACCATTGGTCGACGATTTTCCCATAGTGGGTTTGGAATCTTGTAAGACCCTATTCTTAACTCTTAATCGAAGATGAACGTCCTTCGGGAATCGTTGTATTCAAAAAGTGACCACATAACCGAGTCCTCTTTACTAATTTTGATGCTGCTGTAAGTTCGACATGGGGTAATGTTCGTACTGTTCCACTTGACAGCTATTTCGTTGACTACCCGAACCAGTTACACATAACTGGAGCACTCCATAATATTCCTGCTCCGAGCATTCATGGTGTAAATATGTTTCTCTTTCAAGTCGTAGAAAGCATACACAGTCTACAATTCTCATTACAATTGTTCAGTCTAGCACTTAGTTGATTTACATGAACGCCATCAGCAAAAAATAAGGTGTAGCTGCCAGGAATCGAAATTTTCACTACCATAGTGTCCTATTTCAGCTTCTGCAACATGTTCTCGAGAGTGATGTGTAGCACTGGAAAAGTGGTTACAGCTTTTAGGATCTCTTTGTGATAATGTCACCATATTAAGGGCTCACGAATCCTAGTTAGAAAGCTTTTGTGTGGCACGCGAACAAATTTCTGTGTACAGATCAGGAACAGCCTGAAACGATATGATCTTCTACATTCACGCGACATTTTTTCCAGATGCTTACGTCCAATCCAGTCCGCACCGGGTGCTTTACGGTTCTTCACTAAAGAGATAGTGTACCAGATTTCAAAATGGAGAGTAATTGGGACGAGATGTTCATCCACTTTTACATGATATAGAGTTATTTAGATACTAATTGCAAAAAATATCGGAGGACAAGTCGTGGATGATTCCCTTATTTACCTTTTGAAGGTTGTGAATTTTCCGTCTGGATAACGGAGAGAAATCAACGTGTGCACTTAGTTCGCAGTGTCTCTAGAGTTGTAAACGCTAACCTTTTTTCGCAAACTCTTCAACTTTAGGAAACACTCTAGCTCTTCAGTCTTTAACACCTTCTTTTAAAACACATCTTCGGGTAAAACTGCCAACTCGCTCAGCGTTTGCGCAGAAATCAAAAGTGTACTCTCATACAGCATGTCGAATCCTAATTAAACTCAAAAATTCCAGATATGCATAATTAAATAGCCGGTTGACAATAATCTATACGCAAAAGTTCCATAAATTCACATCTTTGTCCGAATTTCATTTATGGAAGAGAGCGATAAAAGTAGCAACAAAATACACCCAGAGTATATCAAACGATGTTTGAAGTTCACCCAAGAATAACATAACGCACTAATATATGCTTAGATAATTAACTACTCTATGAACGTAAAGCTTAATACACACTTGACGACAGAAATGATTCACTTCGTTCTGGAAGGCTCCAAGAAAAGGTCTCAGTTTACAAAAAAAATTTTATGCATTGGAATCATATTTGATGGAGTTTTCAAACCGGCCTTTGAGAAACAGGAATAGTAGGTGTTATGTGTATTACGCAGTACCGAACAGGTTTATAATGGGATAAAAACAAGCTCTGATTCGGTAGACCGACTATCCCAAACCCTCCCCTTCGCTTCCTAATAAAACCGTTTTCAGGAAGCATCTTTCCTGTACCTTTGTATGATCTCACCGCCAAAAAATTATGAAATAGCTTTAGGAAAAGGGCAATGCGATAGATTTACAATCGTCGGTTTATTTCCATAACAGCTTAGTGATAATAATAGTAGTGGATCTACTATGCAAATATCAAAATAGATATACTGAACATAAATAGAATATTTCGACAACTGGAACATCTGAAAAAGCGCGCTAAATTTGCAGAAGAAAATTAAATTTCATAGGACATGAAAATAGCTTAAAGAATGGAAGCAGACTAAATTCCAATAAATCCGATCAGAATGGATGTATTGTCACAAGGCTAAATGTACAAGAACTACGTTTAACATTATGTGCGCTCTCTGACCAGTCTATCGAAATGCGACACTATAAATTCATCACCGTCTTCAGCCCTTTCTCTGATATGTCTTGGACTTTCTAGCAAAACTGATCGAAGTGACTGTATTATCACCACGAGAGCAAGTTCAGAAAAATAACACTTGTAAATTAAGTGCGTTCATTGATAAGTTTGTCGAAATATTTCACCCTACATTCTTCGCTGTTCCCAGCGCAATGTTTGATAGATTTCGAACCTTCTCCTAATTTTCGGAGGATTTCAGGAAATGACGTATATATTAGGCTTAGATATCGCTCCATTCAGTGTACATTGGGAAAGAAGTCTCCAAACATTAGGCGCCATACATTTTTTAATGCTCTCGTTGGTTCTTCCTGTGATGACAATTGTTGTACCAGTGTATATGGTATGTTTCCGACTTAGTTTTGACTTTAAAAAGCTATACCATCATTCATCTCAAGCAAATGTATACGGATATAGTTAACAGCCTTTACGTTGACTGACAAATAACCTACACCAATGGAAACAGGAATTCCGATGAACTAGACTCTTGGATGTAAGAGCCAAAGATTACTTGTAGAGAAGACAACTTCATATCTCATCAGATGTTCCGTTTCTTAACCTCGTGGAACTAAAGGAGTAAAATAATATTCCAGCTGTTTTCACCTCTATGGCCAATTGCTCTCGCATATTTTGTTTGGATGTACTACGACAGAAACTCTCCCAAGCAGGGCGCATACCGTTCCACTTGGTTTATGCGCCAACGAATTCATAAATGGTACGCAGACTATTTTCCTGTCAAACTACACAAAACAGAAGAACTAAGTCCCAACGAGGTAAGCAACACCTTCAATGCATATCATATAAATTAGATATATATTCGTTATTATTCAGAACCACCTCATTGGCAGTCATCCTCATGGAGTCATCTCTACAGCAGCCTTTATTAACTTTGCCACAAATGGGACTGGTATTTTAGAAAAATTTCCGAACATTGAATTTCATTTGTGTACGTTGGTGGGCCAATTCTACACCCCATTTCGACGAGAATGGGGTCTTCTTCATGGAATGATTGACTGTAGTCGTGATAGTCTCACGTATATTCTCAGTGGCAAGAAGGTATTGAAAATTATAAAAAATGAAGGTATATATTAAAAAGAAACAGCAAATGTTTAGGGAAAGGCGTGTGTTCTAGTGATCGGCGGAGCTGAAGAGGCACTCGATGCACACCCTGGTCACCATATTTTAACCCTTCATCGACGAAAAGGATTCATCAAATTAGCTCTGGAAACTGGAGCAAATTTGGTCCCATGCTACTCATTCGGAGAAAACGAAATATTCAAACAGGCGAATAGGCAAATCTAAGCTTAATTAATAGTCTATAGCGAATAAAATAAATTAACAAAAACGAACTCCGTTCCTTTTCAAAACTGCAAGAACTCAACCCGCTAGTGCAAATAAATTCCATTAATATTTTACACTCACTTCAGCTATAATAGTGGTTTAGTCACCTGAGGTGAATGGATTCTAACGATGAATGAAATTTCTTCAGGCTGATAACCCCAAGGGCTCCTTGATAAGGATGATTCAAACAACGGTAAAGAATCTTTTCGGCTTCTCTCCACCATTCTTCTATGGACAAGGCATTTTCGATGACAACTTCGGGTTACTTCCTTACAGGTTTGTATGAAGGTCATCTGCCTTAAAAATAGGTCTTAACTAGACAACCTTGGTACTGATCACTACAAAATTATGTGAACTCTTTTAGGAAACCAATCAATACTGTATTAGGAGCACCGATCAAGGTTTCTAAAACCGAAAATCCTACACAGCAGCAAATAGATGAGTTACATAGGCTTTACACTGAAAAACTAAGGAAACTTTTCGAAGAGAACAAGACGAAATACGGTGTACCACAACAGACACAACTTGTTCTTCAATAGACCAGTATTGCAAACATGTTATATTTCCATTGCCTTTTCCAACAACTACGAACGAGTAATCAATCTTGTTACTATTAATTGTTTTATATTACGACACGCCGTTTATATTTACGTAATCTCCGCATCTTGTTCTTACTACTAGAATAATGGAGTGCTAATACACATGGACATATAAAAATTAGTCTGCGCTGTTTGAAGTATTCATTCGTCAAAGATAAACATGAGATCGTTGGCGTTTCTTTGTGCAAAGTGTGACGACGTCACGAAGTTCTTTCTCACACCAGAGTCGCCTCCTTGGGAGAAAGTTTGACATTTCCGTCAGTAATGGCATCCACAAGTGAAATTTCTTTTACATAACCCTACATCATGCATTGTACGGTTCTCGGCACTTTTTGCATTTGAGTTTTCTTGCATACGTCATCCACGAAGATTTTCGGAGTTGCAGTAGGTTTAGTAGCTGCTTAAGAATATTCGTCTTCGTCATAAATGTCGGTAAATGGAATCCCGAGGAAGTCGTGCTGAGCTACTCTAATGTTAATTTCAGGGAGTGAGCTGATTCTACAGAAATTTGGTACCAACTCCACAAGTCCGTAGGGATGAGAGGCACGGTGTACCTGGGGTGGGGTGAAAGCAATGTTTTGCTCGTAAAGAACGGTATCACTACCACAATTAAAATTTTGCCAAGGAAAACCACTAAGCTAGTTTTCCAATGTGTTGATTGCCACAACCCTACTAGATTAGGGTCATACAAAATTTCCAAAATTTTGAAGCATGCGAACCACGAAAATGCTTTATAAAACAGTATAATCCTTTTTTCTGTAAGGAATTAATTCTGAGACATAAAGTCGGGAGATAAAATGCCAGCATCAAAGATTCCCAAGACCGGCTTCCTCTTAACCTCGGCATCGGCCAAATAATTCAGGTTCCTTAATAAGCGAACACAAGTTTTGCACATTACACTTCCACGTGATTTCTGTGCGGTTGGTCTCTACGTGACATACTTAGTGGAAACCTCATAGAAAGCGGCTCTGAAGAAGGCGAAATCCGCCGAAACGTCAGCTTAATAGTGAACAAAGAATAGTAACACCTCGCGTTTGCTCAACAAAAATACGAAGAAGAACACAAGTTTGTTACCTCATCCTTCATTCACAAAAAGGTAACGTTTCGCCGAATTTCCCCTTCTTCAGAACCAGAAAAGGTTAAGATGGCCGCAATCTACTCAGCCAAACACCTCTATAACCAAAACTGGAAAATTACGAAACCAAGATTTCCATCATAATGAAAACAAAATAGCTTCTTCGCAACACTCACCGCTTCCTGTGAGTTTTCCAGTGATATGTCACGTGGAAACCAACCGTACAGAATTCAAATGGAAGCGTTATATATCTTTCACATTAAAATATCGGTCTTAAATATTGTATGAAATCACGTCTGATAACGAAGCATTCTTCCCTGCGGTTCACTTTCGTATTTTTAGAAATTTTCCAAAATACTTTGATGGATTTGTGCGTTAAAGTTTTCGATTCCTATGCTAGGGTGATAACTTCTACTTCAAAACCTTCCCCGTCATGTCTCTGCGTCCTTTGTGCACCTAGTGGATCATTTGGTTTAACCTTAAGTTTACCGACTAAGTGATCATTTTTACGGACGCAGAGTGGTCTACACGTTTGTATTCCAGCTCGCATGCTTTACGAGGAATCGGGTAAGAGACTGTGCTCGAACTCCTGCAACCATCATTTCTATCGGTAGCAGAAGTTATGCAATTATCTATTGTGCATAGACGGTCATACAATAACAGGGAACACTTTACAGCAGAAGTGACCGTCGCGAAGAGGAATTCAAAACTTCAATGCTCAAAACTCTTGAAATATTCTGGATAAATTCTAAGAATCGAGAGATGAACCGCAGAGAGGAATGCCTCGTCATCACAAGTGATCTCACACAATATCTCAGGTTGACATTTTAGCGAGACAGGAGCATTCCCATCATACGAACTCTGTCCGGTTAGTCTCCGCGTGAAATACTCAATGGAAGACATAGACATGGGTGAGTGTGCGAAGAAGCTACGCTGTTATCAATAGGACTGAAATATTGGTTGCGTGGTTTTTCTGTTTTGGCTATGGAGGCTTTTTGGCTGAATAAATTGCAGCTAACTTGAAGGCGCCGAAATGACAGCTTTTTTGTGAATAAGGAATAAGGTAACAAACGCGTGTTTGCTCATCAAGAAGACAAAGAGTTACTAGCAGCAGAGTTTAAACCTCTAAAAGTTTGAGGAAGTAGTATATGACTAATATGTAGCCACTCACCTTTGACAGACTTTTTCTCCCTGATATCTCCCACAGTATCGGTGATAAGCTTTAATTTGCTAGAGCTGCGCTCTCTTGGCTCATTATTCGCTTCTCCTCGTGGGCCCACCTCAAATGTTATTTACGTTATACATTTCTGATAAATGCAAAAAAAAAATGAAATACGGAGGAAAATCGTACTTCTTCTAGAATAGCCTTGACTGCGCCCATACGGGGAAGCGTTACATATTTTAGGTGAGGAAATCCGTTTAACTTTCCATATCTATAACGTTTCCTTACCACGCAAAGTCAACTGACTTATACAAGATAGAGCAAACCTCTGACTGCTTTCCACACGTTTATGGTAGAATCCACCTTCGGGGAAAAGAATTACCCAACGACGATCACGGTCCCAAAACACATCTCGAAGGTGCTCTTTCAACCTAAAAATGAATAGAATTCGTTTTTATAAAAAAAAAACCCAACGTATGCAAACATGTAACTCGATTGCAGCTACTTTCTTGGTTTCAGCAGCATGTCTGTCGTTGAAAAGTATTGATGGATAGTCAAAACACAACAAGAAAATGTATTATTAACAATTGTTAAGCCCCTGATAAACACTTCACATACCTCAAAATCTCCTTTTCTCGCGTCGCCTTCCCTTGCCGAATAAAGTAGTCTCCATGATTGTTGCCAATTATTCCAAAAGGACTCCACCGAAACATTACGTCCATCAACCAAAGCGTCTGCAAAAGAAGTTCTTGTGGATTAAAGCCATACTCTACAATGTGATTTTACTTTAACATCATATTAAACTGCCTTTCGTTGAGCTTACCAACTAGGAAGACCGAACAATGCTGCAGTTTCCGTAACAAAGAAAAAAAGAAAATATGGAGAATTGGACACCTTGCGGCTGGCAACACCTTTGCTCTGCAAACATGCCATCAAAGTAGGTACATCGGCTGTGCTCTGATGATTACACATCACCAACACTCGTTCGTCGCGGTAGTACTTTGTTACATCGTCACCGTATTCGAAAACTGCAATAGCAAAGCAAATTCAAGCGAGGCTATTCTGGCTTAGATATGAGACTGGATCAATATAGTGACTGCTATAGTCAGTACTCAGTATAAAAAGATACTGGATAAATTCCTTCACATTTACCCTGTTTTACAGTAAAACAGCACATTTTCCGCAACTAAAAGCTTTACAAACGTTCTAATGCGCGTCCAATTTTTAAGTTCTGCACAAAAACCAATGTAACCATTGCTAGCCAACAACACAAAGGTTATTCTAACTAACGGTATAATACAGCAATTGGTTACGTTAGAACAGGAATCAAACCTCTCTCGGATATACCTTATTGACGATTCGTGCACACCTGTTGCACCTATTGTGCAGTACCTAGCAAAATCCCGATTTTTCGGAGTCTTGCTGGTTTAGCTATTGTGGTTCCTTTGGTCTCGCGATCAGCATAGACAAAGTCTGCTCCAGGTCATCATCACCACAGGCAGTCGCCGCCCTTGTGGATCAGAGAGTAGATTTGCGACTATTTTGATACCAGGACGGTTGTAGATCCTGGTATTGGTTTACTCTTAGCTGGTCTTCCTGATAGAACCGCCTTCTTTTTGTACTGCGTGTGTAAAATCCACAAATTGACCCCCACATACGGGATCGTTAGCAGATTTGCCTTTTTTGACTGGTGAGGCTTAAGGCTTGTATAAATCCAATTTTCAAAAGTGATAATTGTGAAAAATAAGCAGAACTGTTATCGTTGATAAATACCATCATAGCCAGCAGTATATCCCCATGTTCCAATGAAGCCTTGAAGCCATCGGTATAGCTTTCCTTCGACAAACCAGTACAACCGTGGCCTTAAAAAATTATCGATTTTAACCAAATTCTTTTTACAATGCTGTGTAAGCAGCCACACTGATGTAAGACCTTTCCACAAACTCATCTGTATCTCAATAACAAACCAGACGAACTCAGTAAAAAAGAAATAAAGAAATCAAAATGATTGTCCACTCACTATAGTATCTATTGCTTCCTTCCTAAACGCTATCAACCCATACATAAATCACTGGTTACGTAATGAAGATAACAGTTGCTACATATGATACTACCATGTTATGCCACCACAACACGATTAAGATCTTGGTGGTGGGGGTATGAATCTACCGCTGTACACCTAGGAACACCTCACAGCTCCAATGAGCTGGTAAACCGTTAGGAGACTTATCGTTAATATTTGACTATTTATTTAGGAAACGTATTCTACATCATTATGATCAAACCATTTTTATACCTATTACATCGCTCTAACGGCTAATAGATGGCTGACTTCTCAGCCATACATACATTAACTTATAGAAAACTGTTGGGTAATTCCAGAGGGTGCCAGTAAAGCCTCCATATGTCTTTGTCATGCAAAAAAAAGGTCGATGTTGATGATGTCACTGAACAACAGCAAGACTGGTTGCAAACTCGGAACTTTGTGCAACACCACGCAGAACATTGTGGGACGCCGTACAGAAGTCGTTTTCAGTCGCTTTTCACTACGCACAATGCGGTAGCGCTTTTGTTCAGCAACACAGTCGCAGTATAAAATCCTTAACGAAGAAGACCACACCACCTTTCCGTCTTTCAATCTTATTGCAAAGTTTTCAAAACCGATGTTATACCATAGAACCTTCAATGGACTCCGGCCAAATGATGACATTGCGGGTGGTTTCCAGAGTTCTACATCCAGTTTTGAATTCGCATAAAAATTGTTCTAACTCGTTCATTTTCATTCTGTCCTAAGAAGAGCTCCAAAGTTTGAAAAAATGAGAAGAGCGATAACAATCTGTAGCACAATAGTTGAAGAGAATGACTATCCAACTTTTTAACGATGAAATACTAAGCACTGAGTCGTGATCTAACACGCCAGGTCTTTTAAGTCAGAAGTTACCCAATCCTCAGTTGTCAGCGAAAACACCAAAGAATTTGAAGAACACAGCGTAAAGGAGACACAGGGCGGTATTCCTCATAGAAGTCGATCTTCGTTATACAGGTGTATGTACATGTATGTAGGAACGCGTGTAGCGCAGTGCTCGAACGCACCCTGCAATACACATGGGATCGATCCCCGCGACCGTGGCTCACCAAGTCTTCCATCTCTCCGGAGTCGGCAAATTGGTACCAGACTTGTCTGAGAGGATAGCAGCACTGGGTCGATACATCGGTAGGCCTGTACGTGTCCAGATATGGGCCCCGGATATGGGTAAAGGCCAGATATGCATTAAATCACCTCCAACGATGCTTAATGAATTTGAATGCATGCCACATCCCTCGACTGATCAACGCCAAGAGCTTTACCTTTTAGGTTAATGTACTGTTTTACCTACAGTGTTTGTTCACATCATATGATTAAATGGAAACATTAGTGGTTCAGCCATATCGCTCTCAACTCAATTTAACTTAGGCATAATAGTATTTTTCAGAAACACTCGTTCGACAATAGCCAAAATTTAAGAAAAAAAATCGTTAACAGTTTACTTCCTCCCTGACTTGTCAGAATGTTGTATGATTTTGTGACTATGAGAAAAAAATATTTACAGGAGTAAGGAAACGGCGTGTCTCGACACTGCCAACTTTAAAAATCTGTGCTTGAAAATAACACTGGAAGTGATTTGAACTGAAGAAAGCACTTAAAAAAACCTAAAACGAGAAACAAAATACTGCTGCTCACCAAACTCTTCGAGCCCACATTACCGGGATGATAAATCCAAAATACGTTAGGAAGAACGCGGTCACAAGTGAGAGGCACATGAGTGCTCTGAAAAGTGGGCATCTTTATGAAATCGCTCTTTCACAAAGGATGTGAATGTTGCATGAACCAACCTGATAGGTGTCTTTATGAACCATAGCATTTTCTCACGCGTGGAAGCCTGTGAGAAAATCGATCGGGAACCAGGTGGTCGTTCTCGCCTTGGAGCTTCTCGTCTCTTCAGTAACTCCGCGGTTTCTTCATCCTCTAACATCTGTATAGAAATTAGTACTCTATTGTAGGACAAAAAACAAAGAAACTGTCGAATTTCTAGAAGAGAATGAGGTGACAATACGAGAAAAGTAGGGAAAGAAAAAGAAAAAACAAAGAGAGAATCTGGATAGAATGTGAATGTTCAGCAGCTTCCAAAGTCTTTCTGGAAGGCTCAGAATAGTGAATTATTAAGGGAGATACTCATAGTTTAACTCTTTTTCAGAATCTCTACGACTGATAGAACCGTAATGATTGCGAGAAGGAAATCAATATTTGTCCTGTGAACGAGTACATCACCATTTGAGGTTAAGATTTCAGATTCTAATGTTAGGTTGTCGTAGATTTCCAATCTGGACCTACCTTTGCAAGGAGAAGTTTTCAAATGACTTCTAGGAAAGACGTTTGATGCGATCAACAATCACATTTCGGGATCTGTCCTAGAACGACAGTAGGTGTCCTTGATCAGGAAGAAAAAAAATGCAAACACTGAGCAGCACAGCATTCTTGAAACTCTCGAAAGGGCTTTGCGAGGAATAGAACAGATGTAAAGGAGACATATGAAAGTAATGTAGGGCTACACCGCGATGATGAGGCAACCGAAACTCGATCGATGGAATACGAGTGCTGCCGAGTCTCAACATGTACTGCACACTCGTCTCTTCCCCCAGCACAAGAAAGTACTAGATGGATACTGTGAACAGAAATATGTCTTCTACCTGATACTGATGGTTTGAGATGATGAGGGTTTAACTATGAACTGCCATACTAACACGTAATGGATATAGGTAAGAAACAAACATAAAGATTAGAAATGAACACAAGATGATATAACTGGATTCGAACCTAAACGGACCGATTTTCCTATCTAGATGTACCTGGGTTCAGATCTAAACGGACCAATTTTCCTATTTCGATGTACTTAGGTTCAAACCTAAACGGACCACTTCTCTTACCTATTACGCTATTGTAGCGCATTTTGTGGTAGATGGAAACTATGCTTCAACACATCATATCGTTCGCCTCTTTTTTTTCTGCGCTTACGTACGTTACGCTTTTCAGTGTAAACATTTGCGCAAGCGGTTGGAGAACTTAAAGACCTTAACTTAAAAAAAGACTTAGAAGACCAAAACGATGTAAGAAGTGATGCATGAAAGAAACCGATAACGTCACTGAAACTTCCACCTTAGCATGCTTAAGAGATTAGCGGCATCCAAACATAGAAAAGACCATATAAATCGTGCCTCAGCATTGGATGGTGGTCGTCAAAGCTCAACAAAAGGTCGATCGGATTTATCCCGTAACACTTTCTAAAGTCAAAGTGACAATGACTGGACAATAAACGTAGTAAGATTCCATGCCATATAGACTTATCGTCATCTTAAGTAAATAAATACTTTACACCTCTCATTACATCACTTTTCACTAAAAAACTACTTAAAGAGCCGCTCACTACTACCTAGACTATCCTCGTTGTGGAAATCTAACCAAAATCTTTAGCTGAAGATCAACCGTTCTCTAACCATCTTCCAGAAATCGTCAGCTTTGACGGGATATTTTACATTACATTACTAGACAGCGCTAATGGGTTTACTCTGACCTTCTCCCTCCGGGTTGCCCTCCAAGTAGAGAAGAAATGGCAGAACCTCAGCACGTGGACCGCTAGAATTATCTCAACATGTGGCTTCGATGTTCCTCTTTGTTTCGTATCAATTCACTTGAGAAGACTGGAAGATTTCCCGTATACTAGAACAGGAAGCTATTGACGATCTCCATAACGTTTCTAAGTTCTACCACAACTGGAAAATCCATTCAGTGGTAATTCATCTGTAGAGAGTTTCTATATCACAAACGGATACTAGGATCTATGCCTGATCAGAGCGCTGATGAACATTCTTCTAAAAATTCTGCGTCTTTCACTATTTCTCACTTTGGCACACCATCACTGCCTTATGGGTGATTTCAATGCGCTGAGAACGTCTAAGCAGACGTAATCTATGACAAACTAGGATGGACTTCAAATAATTCAAGACAGTCTTTTTTGCCTGACTGCTGCATATACAGAAACCAATTAGAAGACTTACAACTGTAGCACGATTTTGAGTCCTGAACCGCGACTGCAAGGAGAAAAAGAACGCGCAAGGACCACTAGAATTAGGCAGGAAATCAAAAAACTGCGCTACAACGGAACAACCACGTCAACTGGCGAGTCGGCGACTCGCGCAATGCCGCGTCAGCGTTGATGTCGGACGACGCGTCGCGGGCCAGGAGGCGACGGGCGACGCGAGGGAGCGTGCCGCGACTAGAACGCGCGGTAACTGGCACTCGCGCGTTATGTCATGTTGTTGTGCCGAGGGCTGGATGATCTGGTATTTGTGCATGAACAGTAGAATTGAATGTGAATTTCTTCATTTACCGCCTATTGCAATTTTCCACAGCAGAGTATTATGTGAATTACAACCACAATGATGCTGAGATATTCGCAAAACTCCGGACCGTAGGTGTCTGCTGTGGGGATCGAACACGCAATTTGCCTTTTCGGAGGTTAACGCGTTTGCCACCACACCGTGCGCATCCTTCGTTTCGCCTTTCTCTCTGCTAGTTTTCTAGAATTCATTGAATTCATTTGTAAAATTGTTTATCGGTGAATTCATTTGTAAGAATGAGTGTGTAACGGTAGAGCAGGAGAACTTTTTTGTTATAGGTTAAGGTTTGCAGATTCTAATAGTCTTTACTCATGAAGAATTCTTCGTGAGCTGTGCAAAAATTTCACAACCAAGATATAACCATTCTACAGAGATATTGGCATTGACGTCAAAAGTGGGGTTAGGCAAGGGATGCCATCTCGCCAAAATTATCTACCGCCACCCGCCAGAACGATTTGCGAACATTGGAATGGGATAAGGGATAATATGGGAGTGAAAATCGATGGTCTGCAGTTATACCATCTTCGCTTTCCTGATGACATCGTCCTTACAACACCAAACATTAGCCAAGCGGAACGTATGGTTGATGACTTTGTTAAACCTGTGGAAAGATTGAACTTCGACTAAATCTCACAAAAGTGATGTTAATGAGGAATCGACTGGTTTCGTATGCCCCATTCACGCTCAACGGAACGGATATCTACGAATGCTCCAGTTATATCTGTCGGGAAATCAACATGATGAACGACCTAGCTCCAGAGCTGAGCAGAAGGAAACGAGCGACTTGGGGAGCTTTCAAAAGCATCGAGGATGTAGTGACGAGAACAAAGAACACCCGACTCCGTGCCCACCTTTTCAACTCAATGGTAATTCCTGCGCTAACGTATGCGTCAGAAACCTGGCCGCTGCGTAAGCAGGACGAAAGATCACTCAGCGTTATTGAACGCGCAGTCGAAGTGATGATGCTGGGAATATCCCGTTTCACACAGGTAAGGGATGAGATCCGAAGCTCCGGCCTGCGTTTACGATCAAAAATCAACGATGCCGTTCTGTACGCCAAACAGTCGAAGATAAGGTGGGCCAGAAACGTAATGCGTATGAATGGCAACCGATGGACAAGAGCCGTTAGTGACTGGATTCCTCGGGACATTAAATGTACTGCAGGAAGACCACCGACCCGATGGTCAGAGTTCTTCACAAAGAGCCTTGAAGAAAGATATGATGCTATACGAGAGAAAGATACGAGTCCCTAGAGCGAGCAGAACCCACTGGGCTACTCTTGCACGCGACGGGAAAAGTGGAAGATTTACTGGCGCCCGTTCGTGTCACTCGACGATCAACTGGACTACAGGTGATACAGATGAATAGCCTTTACTACAATTGTTAAAATATACTATGAAGTGTGAAATTTTGATTCAAAGTTGAAGGCAGAAAGCACTGCTTTCGTATCTTATGACTCCAATAGAGGCCATATCGTCGCGTAATGGTTTATCACATGTGGGAGGTACAGTAGACAAACTAGAGCACTGTTTTTCCCAAAGATCAGCTTTTGTATGGAAATCGGAACTATGGCATGGAGTAAAAGGACCTGGTGGCGTGGAAAAGAACAGATCGTTCTAGTAGATAATGAAACTTTTTACCATCTTTTATGAGAAATAGTGCCTTTCATCACTATTATAAAGGGGTTTCTATTCAAGCTATCACCTTGCGGAACGAATAAAAATTTCTTGGTTTTGATGGTTGTGACATAACATGACACTTAATGTGTTGCCCATTGCGGTATGACTCACATATAGCTCGTAACGTCCAAAATGCCTTCCGGAGCAGCGGTGTTGTTAGTGCAGTCTGAACGCGTTAAATGTACTAGCGGCACTAGAGAAACAAATTCGGATACTGTCGGAGCAGTACTGTTCATTATCCTATTTACTAAGTATAAGGTTTTTGGTCTATGAGTACTACTGATTACCATTCATCCTATAGCATTTCAGAATGAACTTCACTTGAAGAATGAACAGATTACGATATATTGTAGACGTGTATATTACACCTTATTTAGAATACTACTTTTAGTCCCGCCTGTTAATTAAGGAGCAAAGGATAAAACCCCCGACTTTGATTAATCCGTGAGGGATTCACCATATATTCGACCTCACTAAGGATCGCGCTAAGAGTAACCGAAATCATATCTTACGTATACAAAGACTTGGTTTGGCCTACTGCTAGGGATGTATTATGAACTCAGTGCTGCTATCCTCTGAAATAAGTCTGCTACCAATTTGCCGACCACGAATGAAGTAAAAGCTTGGCGAGCTCTATCTCGATTTTCGTCGTCATCTTTGCCAACTAGTATAATTTTATCACGACGACCAAAACCATTCATGGTAACTTGCAACCCCAGAAGCCCCACACTCAATGCTGGACATGGGATTCTACCAATGGAGGGTGTCAATATGAAATAGATCATATCATTGTAAATCGAAGGTTCGCCTAACCGATGTCGCTGATGTCCCAAAATTCTACACGGGATCAGATCAGCGCCTCATTCGGGTAGGATTCCATTTTTCACGGAAAGGAGAAA